CTATCTGGGGTGCCTGGCAAATAGGGCATGCTGGAAATAAGTGCAGAAAGAAGAGAGATGGAGAGGAAAGAAAGGAAGAAAAAGAAGGAAGGAAGAGTAAAGGAGTTCTAAATATCTAGGCCACACCGAAACGCAGCATCAAGCTCTGAGTCCACTACTTACTGGCTCTGTGACTTTAGGAAGATTTCTTAACTTCTCTGGATCTCCATTTCCTCATTTTGAACTGAGGACAATACCTTCTTGTTATGAGTCTTACACAATACATCTCATATAACAATATCTAGAACAGTGCCTGGCACAGATTAGGTGCTTTATTCTATAAATGTTTGTTGAATGAAAGAAAGAAAAGATGACGGAAGGAAGGAAGAAAAGAGAGGGAGAGAAAGGGAAGAAGAGAAGAGAAAGGGAGGGAGGAAGGGAAAGAAGGTAAAGAGGGAGGGAGGGATGAAAGAAAGTCTAGTTGAGCAACTCTTTCCACTCATGGGTCCTGTCCTGGTGCTTTAACAGAATCACCTTTTGGCACGAAGAAGAAGAAGAAGAAGAGAAAGAGAAAGAGGGAGGACGAGGAGGAGAGGAAAAAGGAGGAGGAGGAGGAAGAGGAGGAGAAAGTCCAATTGTTTCCCTGTGGATAAATGGCCCCGGAGCTTGGGGACATTGGCTATGTCACACGGAGCCAAGTTGATCACTTCCCCGGGCACGTCAGCAGAGCACCGCCTGCCTCCTTATTTATGCGCCAGATTTTCATCATTTACCATGTGCACTAAGGGGATTCATTCCCAAGGATGTACAGCCAGTGACAAGCCAGGGAGTCAGACAACACAGATATCAGCGGCTAAGGCTGTAATCCCTATCCGATCAGCAGCCCTTCAACAAAAAGAGGAAGACCAGACAACTGAAAGCTTCTATTCAAACTCAGTAATAAGAAGTGACAAGGGACGACTTGGGTACAGGGCCAGCAAGCGGTGGGCAGGAGGAAGGTGGGGTGCCGGCCCCCGACCTTTGTGCCAGCCACGAAACAGGAGGTCCAGTCAAGCTCTGCACCATGAGCCTACTTAGATTTTAGGCAAACAGTTTGAATGTTTCCAATTTAGAAGAAAAAAAAGTTTAAGAGCTTACTTTCTTCTTCTTTTGCACTCCATAGCTTTGGAAGTTTTACAGTTGTATCTTTTGAATATAAAATGCTCCAGCTGTTGTAGAACACAGTCTGATGATCCCTCAAAAAGCTAAACACAGAATGATGTTATGACCTGGCAATTCCACTCCTAAGTTTATACTCAAAGGAACTGAAAAGAGAACCCTCAGACAAGTATACGCACACACACGCATTCGGAACAGCACAATTCACAACAACCAAAAGGTGAATGCAGCCCACACGTCTGTCATTGGATGAGTGGATAAACAAAGTGTGGTATGTCCATACAATGGAAAAGTATTGAGCTGTAAAAAGTAATGAAGGACTGATTGATACATGGATGAACCTCTAAAGCATGATACTAACTGAAGGAAGCCAGGCACAAAAGCGAGCATATTGTATGATTCCTTTTATACGGAATCGTGTAAAATGAAATAAAATCTCCAGAATAAGCAAATCTCTAGAGACAGAATGAAGATTGGTGGTTGCCAGGGGTTAAGGGTGGAGGTAATAGGGAGAAACTGCTTCATGGGAGAGCACTTTTACTTTGGTGTAATGGAAATGTTTTGGAACTCGATAGACTTGCTGGCTGTACAATAACATGTACCAGATACCACTGAATTATTCACTTTAAGCTGGTTAATTTTATGTTATATGAATGTTACCTCAATAAATTATGTTTTTTAAGTTTACTTATTTTTGTGAAAGAGACAGAGAGAACAAGGGGGACAGAGGAGAGAGAGAGAGGGAGGGAGAGAGCAAATCCTAAGCAGGCTCCACACTGTCAGCACGGAGCCCAATGTGGGGCTCAAATTCCCAAACTGGGAGATCATGACCTGAGCCGAAATCAGGAGTTGGACGCTTAACCGACTAAGCCACCCAGGTGCCCCTTTAAATGATATTTAATTGTATTGCTGAATGTACTTACTTCAATACATACACATGATAAAGAAAATTCCAATCCCATAGACGGGATAAATGAAAGATAGATCTCCCTTCCACACCTCACCTTCAGATCTGACCATTTCTAGAGGTTTTTATGTTCCTGTCAGAGATATTTTAAGCCTTGCAATTATGTATATAAAATACTAGCGTAGCATACACACTGCTCTGCACTGGAGAATTGTTGTTGTTTGTGTTTTTTTTAAGTTTATCTATTTATTGAGGGGGAGGGGGAGAAAGAAGGAGAGAGAATCCCAAGCAGGCTCCACCCTGTCAGCAAAGAGCCCGACATGGGGCTCAGTCTCATGAACCTGTGAGATCGTGACCTGAGCCAAAACCAAGAGTGGGATGCTTAACCAACTGAGTCACCCAGGTGTCCCAGTGGAGAATGTTTTCAAAATATAATTTCATGGGCCTTAGCCCAGATCCAATCAGAATTTTTCAAGGATGGGCCCGGGATCTGTGTTCACAAAGTTCCCCAGGGGCTGTGAGGGTGCAGGTGATTGGTGAGGATGGGGCTGGCCCAACTTGTGGCTTCCCTACCATTCCTGGCTTCCCAGACCTCCTACTTTCGGCTTGGTTGGCCTCCTGGAACCTTCTCATCCCTCCTCAATGCATATGATCCCTCCTCAAATACTCCTCTGTGCTCATCATCTCCCTTAGACCACCTCCCACCCTTCCAGGGATTTGGCTGTGAGAGATACCAACCACGGTGGCCTGCTAAGCCCAAAATTCTCCACGGCCAAGTCTGGCCCGGCCTGTTGGCTTCTCTCAGGCCATTGCCAAGGGTCAGCATCTTGGAGGCTAGAGCTCTAGAACCTGATGGACTTCACACCTTGATTCTCTTGCTACTCAATGGCCAAGAGACCAACTCACAGAAGGCCAACTGACAAATCAGAATGTTGATATGTTTCAAAAATGTCTACCTTTCATTGAGCTCCTACTATGTGCCAGGTGGGGTATTTCTTACAATAACCTCCTCAGGGTAGGCCTTATTAAATTCCATTTAATAGGCAAGGAAGGAAACTGAGGCTTTAAGAGCCTAAGGAGCTTGCAGGCTAAGGAGCGGGGAAGCCAGTCTAACCCTGAAATCGATACTCTTTCCTCTAGTCCACAATGCCACACGGTCCAAAACCACAGCCCCGGCGGTTCAGGCTGGCTCCCGCCCCCTGAAGACACAGCATTCCTCCACACTCTTGTCTTCTGCCACATTCCATTCCCAAGGGCTGTCTCCGGTCATGTTGATGGGACTTGGGTAATTCTTAATCCTCTCTGTCCTGGCCCTCTCTCCCCTTTGCCCTCAATCCAAACAGGCATATGATCAGGTCCTGGCCCAGACACAGGGTAGATATAAAAAGGACATTGTATCTGAGACCGGGAGCTCGGAGTTGCTTGGGGGTGGATTTCTACATCCCACGGCGCACTAATAAGGCTCAGGGAGTCACATGGGGACACGTGACACGCCACCCCCCCCCCCCGGGCCCAGATGGCCTCCCATCTCACTGCAGACAGAGCAAGCTCCCTGAGACAAACAGCTTCCCACTCCCTGACTCCCACTTAGCCTCATAGCAGACTTACCTGAAATGTTGGGTGGTAACTGGACTCATCACTCGAACCCTCGTAATTCCCAATGAGTATCATTATTCCAGGGATCTTTAGCCTTGGCTAGGGTTCACCAGAATGTGTCTCCTTAGGTTACGGGGCAGACCAAAGGTCTGCTGAGTGTTCACAGCACGCTAAGTGGATTCTACATAAGTTATTTCATTTCATCCTCAAAACGATCTTGGGAGATCAGGTACTATTTCTATCCCCAACCCAAAGGCAATAACTAACATTTATATAGCACTGTGTAGCCCGGGTCGTTCTCAGTGCCGTATGTTTATTAACTGGTCCCATTGTCCCTGAAGTCCTGTACCATTGCTACTCCCAGATGACTCCCATGACTGAGACGTGGAGAGGCTGAGCAAATGGTCCAGGTCACCGAGCCAGCAAATGACCCAGGTTGCCATTCAAGTCCGAGAAGTCTTGCCCCCCCCCCCCCCCCCACTACCACTCTGCAGCACTGCCTCTTGTTTTTCTCAAAGCAGGGGCCACGTGTCATTTCAGCAACCCACAGATACCATTACAAATCAATAGGGTGCGAGCCAGACGAGGCTTGGCTCAGCCACACAGGTTCCCGAGGTGCTGAAGGACAGACCACACTGATTGATTTCTCGGCTGAGTCTTTAAATGTCAGCCGCGTGTGTGTGACCACCTCAGACCTTGGGCACGGAAATAAAATGCGGAAAGAAAGGGCATTCTGATGCGGGGGATGAGAGAGAGTCTGGGCCACAGAAGGGCAATGGCCTGGAGCACACACGTGTGCGGGCTGGTAGGCATCCCCGGGCTGTGGGGTGGGGACCCTTGTAGGCAGTAGAGGGTGGAAAGAGGGGGGAGAGAGGGGTAAGAGCTGCACCCTTGACCTTGGGCTGCTGGGAAGCCATTTACGACACCAACCCAGGAGAGCTGGGTCTTAACCTGATTAAGCTCCTCTATCCGTATTGATTAGTCACTATTAGGAACTGCTCATTTAGACCGGCCTGGCTGCTTGAGCACAGCTTGTCATCACAAACACAGTGTTAGAAGAGCAAAGACAGCTCGCCCTCCCTCCCCACCGCCCCAGAATTCACCCAGACCCCCTCCTGTCACCAGGCCCCACTGCACGGCCCTCTGGGCCTGCCCAGTTCAATCATTCACTAGTCTAGGAGCTGAGGGGACAGCCACACACGTGAGAGAGATGGCCCCACCCACTCTCAAGCAGCCCGGAAGGAGAGACTGGCAGGGTAAGGAGGAAGCAGATGCATATCTAAGGTGAATTTCAGATGTGTCTTGGGCAATAAAGAATAAAATGAGAGGATGTGAGAGGGGCTGGGGGTGGGAGCGGGGGAAGAAGGAGAAGGTAGCCCGGAGGACATCTCCCAGGAAGTGACATTGAGCTGAATCCTGAGTGATGGGGAAAATGGACCATTCTGAGATCCGAAGAAAGACTTCTCAAAGCAGGGGAAACCGTACAGGCAAGGCCCTTTAGCAGGAGCAGACTCAGCCTTTTGGACCATGAGAAGATTAGTGCTGTGAGCGGCAGAGAGGTAGGTGGTGAGGGGCGAAAGGAGGGCGGGATCAGATGGACCCCCAACCCCTGCTGTTTTGCCCCTGTGGAATGGTTGACCTTCATAAATAACCAAAGTTCACCATCAGGACTTGACATCACTGGACCTCTTTCTCCTCCTCCCATCTATGTTCCCAAATACGACTCTGGGTTGGCCCCTTGCCTTCACAGTCTGGGTAAAAGATTAAAGAAAGGACAGGATTCTTGCCCAACCATCCCTTAGAGGGAGATCCAATACAGGAGGCTGAGAAAGGACGCTGGGGACTGGAAGACCCGAGAAACTTCCTGACCACTCACACATCCGGATCGGCCCTAGGCTCTGTCTCCAGCCCAGATCTGCCCTCTGCTCCCGCTGGGCCAATATTGGCAATGACCTTGTCCACGTTCTGCTTTGAGAAATCCTTCATCTGGCATTTGTTTGAAGGTCTATTGGATTTTTCGTTTCCCTTTGTTTTATATGGTAGTTTTCTGAATACTTGTCCTTTCCATGATGCCCCAAGGCCTATGGGAGAGCAGGACTTCAAGTGGTCCCACTGCGAAGCTGTAGATGAGACCCTTAGACTTTCTGCTTCCTTTGAGTCCCTTGGAAGCTGACCCTGAAACCAGGATTCGATATCAGAAGTTTATTGGGAGGCCATCCCAGGAAGTGCCAGAAGGCGAATGGGGAAATGAGACAGCGAAAGGCACCCTCAAATAGGGTGCTTTACCAAGCAAGTTACCACACTGGGCAACTGGAATCCATTCTTGCTGGGCAGCCCCGGGAGGCAATGGGGAACACAGGTGTGCGACTTGGCTGATACCTGAGTTCCACCTACACAGATTCAGAAATAATTGGTCTGGGGTGTGACCTGGGCATCAAAGTTTTTTTTTTATATGTTCCCCAGGGGATCACACATGCAGCAAAGTTCAAGATCACTGGTGTAGCATACATCTCAGAGCTGTCTGAGTTGAGAGGTGAAAAACTGGGGTTGCTATCCACCCACTCTCTGGGTGCTGTTGGTTGAAGAGAGAGTCCCAGCTTATTCTGTGAGTGTTCTTAGCATGCTCCCTTGGCCAGAAAAAAAAGTATAAAAATAAAGCACCCAAACTCATAGACGTTTGTAGTTAGCGGTCTCGGGCCCACGAGGGTGAACATGGGCAGAGTGTTGACAGCACTGCTACATCCTTCATCTCTAAAATGGGGCTTTAGAGGCGCCTGCGTGGCTCAGTCGGTTGAGTGTCCAACTTCGACTCAGGTCATGATCTCACGGTTCGTGGGTTTGAGCCCCGCATTGGGCTCTGTGCTGACAGCTAGCTCAGAGCCTGTTTTGGATTCTGTGTCTCCCTCTCTCTCTGACCATCCCCTGCTTACGCTGTCTCTCTCTCTCTCTCTCTCTCTCTCTCTCTCAGAAATAAATAAAACATTAAGAATAAATAAATAAATAAAATGGGGCTTTAAAAAAAGTGCCTTTTTGGTAGCAAATGTCTACTCGGTACCCAGTACACAAGAGGCACGCCATAAATATTGTTATTATGATCTCCGCGGTGGGTTATTGCCATGTTGCCTTTTGCGCAGAGTGGATACCCGGTATCAGTAATTATCTTCCCTCCAAGGCAGCAGAGCTGGAAAGCTGAATCGATGGGGCTGTGGAGACGCATCGTTTAATCCCGCAGTTCCTCGGAGTCTGAAATAGTGTCTTTCCCTAGATGATCTGATATTTTTAACCTTGGCGGCGCACTGAAATCACCTGAGGACTTGACAAGAAAGTATGCACGCCTGAGCCCTGCCCCCAGAGATTTCTGACTTAATTGGTCTGGGGTGAGGCCTGGGCATTCTGGATTTGTGGCGGCTCCCCTGAAGACTTTAACGTTGCAGACCTGGTGATTATTAACCAAGGGTGGGGGGCCAGGCGGAGGATTGGGGGGTTGAGCAGGGCTAGGACGGTGGCATAATTCTCTGCCCCCCGTTCTATCCAAAGCCTGTCCTCCACTGTGTCCTGGAACTTTCAGAGACGCCAGTATCTAGCAGAGAGGTGGGATCGGGACCCCGGTGGGCATGAGCCTGGCTGTTCCCTTCTCAAAGGGTGGCCACTCACCAACACAGGTACCTTCTTGCTCATTCTGATGTGCATCTTCCCCCACATCCAGCTAGCACGGCCCAGCCCCCACCCCCCCCCAGCTCACTTGCAAGCCCTCCTGGGGGTCCCACGTGCCAGGCACTAAATGAGGTGCAGAGGTAGAGGGATGCCACAGTCTTCACTGACCCCGCTCCCGAGAGGAGAAAACCCAACACTCACATGTTCAAAGGCCTTGATGCAAAGGTCTGCCTCCTTGCAGCAGGGCCCGCAGGACACACGGACAGTGCCTTAGGACAAGTTCTCTTGAAGAGCTTTACAGAAACCCTCTGAGATAGGTAGCGATCAATACCTTTTTTAGAAATATTTTAATGTTTATTTATTTTTGAGAGACAGAGCACGAGTGGGGGAGGGGCAGAGAGAGAGGGAGACACAGAATCCAAAACGGGCTCCAGGCTCTGAGCTGTCAGCACGGAGCCCGACGCAGGCCTCGAACCCTGGAACCATGAAATCATGACCCCAGCCAAAGTCGGACACTTAAAAGACTGAGCCACGTAGGCGCCCCACGATTAATATCTTCATTCAAAAATAAGGAGGGGTGGGGCGCCCGGGTGGCTTAGTCGGTTGGGCGTCCGACTTTCGCTCAGGTCATGATCTCGCGGTTCGTGGGTTCGAGCCCCGCGTCGGGCTCCGTGCTGACTGCCAGCTCGGAGCCTGGAGCCTGTTTCAGTCTGTGACTCTCTCTCTCTCTCTGACCCTCCCCTGCTCATGCTGTCTCTCTCTCTCCTAGAAATAAATAAAACATTAAAAAAAAATAATAATAAGGAGGGGTGCCTGTCTGGCTCAGTCGGTAGAGCATGCGACTCTTGATCCTAAGGTAGTGAGTTCAAGCCCCACGTAGGGCATGGAGCCTACCTCAAAACAAAACAAAACAAACAACATAAAACAAAACAGAGGAATTTAAGCTACAGGGAGAGGGATGGGATAAACAGTTTCAGAGCCTTCATGATGCTCCGACCAAGCACGGCACTGGGCACTGCACAAACATTGTCAACAAAAGCAGCCCACGTGTATTATGTACCTACTGTATGCCAGGACTCTTCTCAGTGCTCGCCTGATCCTCACTTACGCCCATGAAACAGATGCTGTTGCTATCCACATTCCACACATGAAGACACTGAGCCTTAGAGAGGCGAAGTGACTTGCCCAAGGTAATTCTGGGGTGCACCAGGTCCGCAGCCCAGGCTGCCGCACTCCCCCTCTCCCCGCAACCATCACATTCCTGGCCTGCCGTCACCAACTTGCCTTCTCACAGCCCAGTGAACGAGGTATGATTATCTTGCTCTCGATCAGAGACGGGAAAGAGCGAGGAGGCTGCAGTGGCCCCGTGGGTACGGGCCCCGAGTCCAGTCCTGACCCGCCCAGTTCACAAGGCCTTCCTGGTCCTTTGCCCCAGCCTGTTCCCGTGGCCCAGGATTCCTTCCACGGTCACACCGTGTTCGGGCAAGTCTGGGCTCTCCTAATCACCTCCTTCCCAGCGAAGGCCAGCTCCACGTCCTCGCTGAGCCTCGGCCACAGCCATGGCCTCCCTCCCAGTGGCCCCTGCACGGACTCCCACAGCCATCAGGTCAGGCCCGCTCGGCACAGAACACACATCTCTAGCCCCCCACGGGCAGCGCCTGTTTGCGGGTGCCGAGGCTGGCCTGATGTTCCTGCTGGGGTGTCTTGCCATGTCCCATTTCTATCATTTTTTTTTTTAATTTTTTAATGTGTTTTATTTATTTCTAGGAGAGAGAGAGAGAGAGACAGCGTGAGCAGGGGAGGGTCAGAGAGAGAGGGAGTCACAGACTGAAACAGGCTCCAGGCTCCGAGCTGGCAGTCAGCACAGAGCCCGACGCGGGGCTCGAACCCACGAACCGCGAGATCATGACCTAAGCGAAAGTCGGACGCGTAACCGACTGAGCCACCCAGGCGCCCCCATTTCTATCATATTTTTAACCGGGGCTGTGGGGGCACCGGGAAGGATGTGCTTCGCTGGAGTGAGCCCAGCCCAGCCTGTCTCAGGCACCCACCAGCTCCTCACACCCAACTGGGCAGACACAGCAGGACTCAGCCTCTCTCTCCCCGCCCGGGCTCAGACCTGCGTCCCTTTGAGAAAGTTCAGGAAGGCTGCTCTGCATTCCGGGAAAACACTGTTACCAATCTACCAGCTTGTAATGAACCAAATTATGCTGAATTAATTGGTTGTCATTAGCAGTGTCGGGGAGGGGGCTGGGGAGCAAGAGCAGCCACCGAGCCTGGGAAAGAGAGAGGCGGCGGCAGGGACAGCCCACAGTACAAAACGCGCTCGCAGCACAGCTTGTGTGAGAGAAGAATTCCTTGCTGTCAGCTCTGGCCAAAATAGCCAAGGCACCCACTCTCGCCTCTGACAGCTGGAACTGGACTCCCAGCCTTCGGCTCCGAGCATTGTGCCTCGGGCTGAGTCTGTCCCTGTTCACAAGAGCCCTAACACAGCCTTGATGATAAGAATGAGGCGGTACCAGCCCCCACGTCCCCAGTGGGCTCCAGGCTCAAATTACAGAGGCTTCGGGAGGCCCCATCGCTCCGATGCACATCCGACTTCCTGCCTTGACAGAACAGGCAAGTGAGGAGTCCCCAGCTTGGTAATCAAGTCTAGTTAAGTGTTTGCGGGAGACAGAAGATGGAAGCTCAGGAGAGCCATGTGGTCTTGAACTGGGGCGCAACAGCATTGGCGTTGAGACAAGGGCACCTGCCAGACGGACCCAAGTCTCATCCTGGCTCTGCTACAGGCAGGCTACGTGGTCCTGGACAAGTCACTCCCTTCTCTGAGCCTCAGTGTCTTCAACGGGGGAGCAGTGAAATGAATAGTTAATGTTAGTCTCTGGGTCCCAGACACTGGGAGGAGGCGAGGTTCTTTGCAGCCATTACTAAAGTTTAGGAATCTTGCGTTACCTTACACTGTCTGTGGGTGGGGCAAAGGATACTGGGGGCGGGGCGCGGGATACGGTGGGCGGGGCGCGGGATACGGGGGGTGAGGCAAAGGATAGGCTGGCGCTCACACGTTCTATTGTTTTTCAAGGGGACATCCAATCGATGGTTATTAACAAAATTCTATTTTAAGACAGTCGCTGAATTCAGACGAGGGTTGGGCTCTATTTTCTTGTTTGATGACACTCTCTTTTTTATTTATTTCTTGTGGTGAGATATTTATGACATAAAATTTACCGTCTTAAGCACGTAATAAGTGTACGGTACAGGGGCGTTAATAAAATATATCCACGCTGTTGGGCAATCGTCACCACTCTCCCTCTCCAAGACCTTTTCATCCTCCCAAACTGAAACTCTACCCATTAAACATGAACTTCCCATCGTTCCCTCCCCTTCTCAGCCCCCGTTCATGAAAAGACACTGAAAAGGCGACCATTCTTCTCACCTGGGGTCTGTGGAATAAACTGACGTTGAGAAGGAGTTCTACTTCCTAAAAAGGTAGGAGCTCTTGACCCAGATGTGCAACACCCCTGCCCGGCTGACATCTAGTGATTCTGTGTTTTCTGATGTCAGGAGTCAAAAACCAACCTGGTAATTTTTCCCCTCTAGAATGAAGATAAATGAAGATTTATCCTCAGGTGTTTTCTCTTCCTAGGGTGGGAATACGGAGGTAGAGTCTACAGAAAGAGTTAGCAGAGATGTGGGAATCGTGGTTCCCTCCACAGGGCTGGAAAGCACACAGAGGAGCCTCGTGGGTAGCAGGAATTATTCTATATCTTGATCTGCTGGTAGTTGCATGGGTGTGGACGTATGTAAACTTCACTGAGCTGTTCAACTAAGAGTTATGCACTTTGCCATATGCTTATTATACCCTGAATAACATCGTTTTAAAAAGGGAGTGAGCCATCCATTCAAATGGGTCCAAATAATGACATTCTCGGCAGGGAAGGGCCACATCTTCCCCCTGCCAGGGCGTTAGGGGAGTGTACACTTTGCTTGTACAAGCAGGGCAGGATCTGTTCTATCCTGAAGTAACGCTAGGTAATGGACCATTTGTTATTCTTTTGTTAGAGAAAAGCTGTGCCTTCGTTGAGCCAGGCCCTGTAGAAGTCCCTGGAGATGCAGAGAGGGTCCCTGACCTCATGAATCTACGTCAATCATTGCTATCTCTCCCGACCACCTACAACACGTATGGCCGAATTCCGTGCTGCCCCATCTAAAAGTTCAATCTCAGCTCACTTTCTCTCCTACTGTCTCAGCAGAGATCATCTTAAAGACCCTCTGAAGACGGCCCATGGCACATGGTGGAGCTCTGGCCAGACAATCCTTAGTAGGGAATAATCTTCTTTGTCAGGCAAAACAACCTCTAGTCCTTTAGAAACCTGCCCATCTTCAAACCCTCTGATCAAAGCACGTTGGTCCTGGGGACACCTGGATGGCTCAGTCGGTCAAGGGTCCGACTCTTGGTGTCGGCTCAGGTCATGATCTCACAGTTCGTGAGTTCAAGCCCTACTTCGGGCTCTGGGCCGACAGCGCGGAGCCTGCTTCGGAGTCTCTCTCTCCCTCTCTCTCTGCCCATCTCCCCCCAAAGTAAACAAATAAACTTAAAAAAAATTTAAAAGCACGTTGGTTTGACTCAAACAAGCTGGTATTGCAGCTCATCTGTTCTTTTGTTTCTCCGGCCAGGAACTTCTTGAAGACAAGGACTTGCTATATTCATCTTTGTGTTAATTTTATTTATTCAGCGCCAAATAGACGTGTAGCCCCGTGTCTGGCACGTGGTAGGGACTCAGGAAGTTAACTGAAGGGATAGGGGAGTTTACGAGTGGGTAGAGCAGTAGGTCCAGAGTGGGTAAACGGCAGCTGAATGTCACACAGCCGTGGCTGGACTGCAAGTGACACTTGTTCCCACGCTGAGGCCCACCCTTCTTTTCCTGGCAGGCGACGGCCACTGCATAAAACGTTCTGTCTATCCCTTTGAAGAGGTGGGTTTGATTTACAGCAGCCATCAGGCAGCAAAAATATGGGCCTTCAAACTTTTATTGCCTTTTTATTATTCCTGGTGACGCACCGAAAGATCACCCAAAACATTAGCAATTACTTTGAAGGTGCATGTTCCAAAGGCTTCGGGAGGGGGTGTTTTCTGACTTGATAGGTCAGGGCGTTTCTGCCAGGCAGGCCCAGAAGCATCAGCAACATTGGCGCTGACTCAAAAGCAGAAATGATCTTTCCAGCCTCATTTTCATTTCCATCAGCACCCTATCAGACACCTTATGCCTGAGCCAGTTCCCATCCATGTATAATTTATACATTTGATTTCAATAGATTAATCTCTGCCTCATTCACGGGGTGGAGCAGAGAGAGCTCCCTCTTTTATTTTTCATGGTGAGCGATCATGTCTATTTCCATAAATTTCATTCTGTTCCCACCCGGAGGATTATTTTTGTAAGACTGATTCCAAACTCACTCTCATATTTATTAGGTCTTTAGGAAGAGGTGGAATGGTGGCCACGTATGGTGGTTTCTATTTCTGCGGGAGGTGGGCTCGTCCCAGGCATATGTATCAGAGAGGAGACCAGCCTGGTGCCTCTTGATGCTGAGGAATGGCCGTCTACTTTGGGGGTGGAACAGGGACGCCGGGAGAAGGCTGAAGCCACACTCACCTGGCACCAGGGTGCCTACTGGCCTCTGGCACGAGTGTAGCCCTCCATCCCCTGAGTTCCGAGGACCCTCCTCAAGTAGCTTAAGTGGGTCTCCTGGAAGAAGACCAGAACATCACCAGAGAAAGACTAACTGCTACTTCCTTAACCTAACAAGTTCCCGCAATGCCAGGCTCTGTTCTCCCCTTTTCCCATTTTTCTGCCCCATTGCCCGCCTATGGGAATCTAATCCAGCTTTGGAATCCCAGAGTTTCAGAACTACCTTCACAGTGACAGAACCCCTCTCCCCCAGCTCATGCCCAAAAGCCTCTTCTCAGGGGCCGTGTGCTTCTCTGTGCACTGGCAACTTCACCCCTGGCAGTCAAGCCACAGCCTTCCTTCTGGAAATTCTTCCTGATTGGGCAGGGTGGCACATCGTATTTTCCAAGACGGCGGCAACAAGGTCTCTCATCCCAGGCGTCCTTACGCTGTTGTCGCCGATGATTCTCCCATCGAGAGATGTGCTCTCAGTTTCCTCCACTCAAATCTAGGGGCTGACTTGTGACTAGGGCGGAAGTGACATTTTTTGCCTCCACTCAGTTCTCTTGGAACTCTCACTCCTGGAACCCAGCCGTCGGGCCGCGAGGAAGCCCAGACCACATGGAGATGCAGCATGTAAGTGGCTGGGGGGTGGTCCCTGCTGAGATCCTAGGGGAGACCCAGCATCAATGCCAGTCATGTGAGTGAGGAGCCCTTTGCAGCCCCAGCTCCCATCTGACTGCGTCTGCCCAAGAGATTCTGAACAAGAGCCACATGGCCACGTCCGGCTCATCTACAGCACCAGGAGAGAAAATAATGAAATGATTGTTCTTGTTTTAAGCCACGACTTAGGGGGATGATTCATTTCGAAGCAACAGATAACAGAAATACCCGTGGTGAGCAGAGCAAGTAAAGATGGAAGTGGGACCCTCCCGGCTTTTCCACCTCCCCAGCTAAAAAGACACCCCACATTTATACAAAATCACATGCACATTAGCAGAATCCAGAAAGGAGGGCAGGGTGGGGAAGAAAGAGAAACAACATTCATTTCGTGCGTGCCATATACAAGGAAGGTCACTTCCTGCCCGTCATAACAGATGAAGAAGCTGATGTCCAGAGAAGTTAAGCGACTTGAATAAGGGCTCGCTGCCAGCAAATCTGCTGGTTGTGAAGTGAGGTCAGCATCAGTAGCCTAAGGTTAAAGACACATGTGGAGGAAAGAGATGCTCAATAAATATTAGTTGTATGAATGAATGCATGAATGAGTGAATAAACGAATGCATGCCTGCATGCACGCACGCATTCCACTTGCCTTCTCTCTCTGGCCTTTTGCTTTCCTGGTGGTCCAGAGGGCGAGTTGAACAGCGAATGGACAGCCTGCCTGGTTTGCTTTTTCCAGAAAGGGCAAGAGAAGGGAAGAAACGGCTGGGAGCTGAACCCAGGACCCCATGAAGAGATAGGTTAGCCTTCCTGCCAGGCAGGAGTCACCACCCTGTCCTGCCTTTCTGGCCCGGGGCCTTGGGGCTACCTCCTCGGGTCTCAGCTCTCTCTTGAAGGTCCAGTGTCCTGCCTGGGTCCCCAGCTGTCCACCCAGGCCCGCCGCAGCCCCATCCGCCTGAGCATGCAGCCTCGGTGGTCAGTTCCCAGGGCAGAACCAAGGCCATGGTGACTGTGACCACAGAGAAGCAGCCAGGCAGGGCCAGCGGGCTTTTATCCATGCCCCCTTGTCCTCTCCAAGCACAACTGAAATCAACAGTAAGTTTCTCCATTGCCGCAGGCATCTGAGGATGGCTGCAGGCTCTTACGGCTGCACTGCCTCTCCCTTGATCATTTTTGATTCAGCCCAGATATTCGTATTTTCCAGGAAAGAGGGAGAAGGCAAGCATGCAGAGGCAGCTACCGATCGAGCACCTGCCGTACCCAAGCACGTGTAATGTACACACGTCATCTCATTTGATTCTCCGCATAATGCTATGAGGTACATAGTATTACCCTTGTTTTGACAAATGAGGAAATCAAGGCTCAGAGAGGTTGAATAACTTTCCCAAAGTCGCACAGTCACGGTGGTTTGGAACTGGATCTCAAGCCCTGTCCGAAGCTCTTTTCCTCTTTCTCGGGACTCAGAATCCTCTTGCCCCTGAAGCCTACGGGACCATAGCAGGACCAGGACAGTCACCTCATCTCTGTCACCCAAATACCATGTGTAGAGCTGGGGCAATGGGCAGAGATCACCACGGGCCGTAAAACGAGTCGGAGCCACCTCTGAGGCCCTTTGCTTCTGTCTGTAAGACGGCTGAACTTTAGGTACTTGGTTCTGGCCTGAACTCGTTCCTGAGCCAGCCACCTACGATGACTCTGCCTCCCAGAGCTCAGACCAAGCCATATCCTCCTTCCCCACGTACTTCACCTAACCCACCGCTGACATCCATGACAACACAGTGCTGGGACCGCACCAGCGCCTACAGCCTGGGTTCACATCCTGATTCTTTTCTTAATTTTTTTTTTTTTTTCCCCGAGAGAAAGCGACAGCATGCACATACAGGCGGGTGCAGAGGGGGTGTCAGAGGGAGAATTTTAAAAACGTTTTTATTTTTTAAAAAAATTTTTAATGTTTATTATTTTTGAGAGACAGAGAGAGCAAGCAGGGGAGGGACAGAGAGAATGGGAAACAGAATCTGAAGCAGGCTCTGAGCTGTCAGCACAGAGCCCGACACGGGGCTTGAACTCACAGACCCCGAGATCATGACCAGAGATGAAGTCAGCCGCTGAACCGACTAAGCCACCCAGGCACCCCTGTTTTTATTTATTTTGAGAGAGAAAGCATAAGAAGGGGAGGGGCAGAGAGAGAGACAAAGAGAGAGAATCTCAAGCAGGCCCGTCGCATCAGTGCAGAGTGAGACACTGGGCTCGAACTCACGAACCTTGAGAAATCTGAACCGGAGCCGAATCAAGAGTCGGGCGCTCAACTGACTGAGCCACCCGGGCGGCCCTCAAATCCTGGTTCTTGATGCTAATATGACCTCTAGCAAGTTTCACAACCTGCCCTTGGCTCAGTTTCCCCACCGCAGAATGAGGCTAATGAGAACGCTCACCACGTAGTGTTGTGAGCGCTGCGAGTTAGCATGTGGCAAAGCTGATAACATAGGAAGTTGGCTACCGACACTATTTCTGGTTTGATTTAAACACTGCCTGAGCACACATCGTCCACATCCAGGAAGAACCCTTTCCAGGGCCTGCAGCCTGCCTCTCCAAAGACCGTACAGCAGCCCTGCTGGGCCCTCCCCTCACCTGTCACCCCTCAGAGCCCCTGGCAGGGACGGGCCAGGAAGCCAGGGAAGGAGGATGCTCTTTGACACGGGCCCGGTGCGACCTTACTAACTCCCAAGCCCGCTGCACCCCTGTTTCCCTTCACAGGGCACAAAGCGCTTCACTACCTTCAGGCCTCACCTTGAACCCTCAGATCATTTCCTTCCATTGCCCTGCGGCCGGCCCGGAGGCAGCACCCTCTACAGAGAGCAGGAGAAACAGCTGCTGTTATCTGGCACCCTCCTCGCCTCCATTAGGATATGAATCACCTCCTGAGAGGAGACTCTCCAGCCAGAGGGCGAATCGGTGACCTCACTGCTCAGTTCACCAGGTTCCAGGCATCGCCGATGCCAGTGACCTTTGCTTTTCCTCTGATGAGTTGATGCCGGGCTTCAGAGACAGAGAGCCCTGCCCCCATCGCCCAGCCCCCAGCCCAGGTGCAAAGCCACTCCAGCATATCAAGGGATTCTAGATTCTAAATGGCACAGGTTGGAGTTTGCTGCACATGTT